GTCAGGCAAGGTACTGAAGCTGCTTAATGGCTGGCTGAGTTGATGCATGATTTATTTCAGGGTGCATCCATGCTATCATTTGCACAATTTCAAGAAAAGTATAATCCCCCCAGGCATGACTTTTTCAAATACCTGCAGATTTGGGACTTCATAAACAGGGGAACTACTCTCAATACTGATGCCACTACATCTGCAGTTGAACAATTACTCCTCCTTGGCCCAGCTAAGAAATCCATTACTCACTTTTACAATGTCTTAAGCCAGACTGATGCGATAAATGTACAGGATGTTATGCAGACGTGGCAAGGTGAACTTGGTATAGATATTGAAGGGGATAAATGGACTAAGATATGGACTCAAACTAAGAAAATATCTGTGTGTAACCGTGCCAGATTGCTACAATTTAAGATTGTGCACCGTTTACAAATCTCTCCTAACAAAAGATATAAAATGAACTCTCAACTCTCACCTGCATGTTTAAAATGTAAAATCTCAGTGGGCGACTATACTCATTGTATCTGGTCTTGTCCTAAAATTCAAGCATACTGGATGGATGTTTTTTGCAAGATCTGGAAAATATCTCTCTTTAATCCTGGGTTACCCCAGTCAAGATACTATTGTGGACGCTAACTGTACCAGACTGTATAATATCCTCACATATGCAACAAGGAAGAACATCTTTCTGTCTTGGATAAGTGACAAACCCCCTACTAAATCAAACTGGCATAAGATAATAATGGAATGTTTTCCCCTTGAGTACCTGACCTGTCTGCTTCACTCTTCAGAGGGACAGTTTATGAACATTTGGACTCCATCACTTTTCCAGCTCTACAGTGGCTTCAGTGATTTCGAGTGTTGTCCATGGCTAGCCTTTGGTTCTTTTCCTGTGTCTTACTCAAAACACTGTACTTGCAACCTGGTCATTTTAAACTTCCAGAATTGCAAACTGGGGTGTATTTTTTTTTTTTTCTTTTTTTTGTTTGTTTATTTCCTATTCATTGTACTGGTCGGGTGCATGTGAGATGTAAATGTGTATAGACTGTCTAGACCAATGTTGTACTGAGCGTTGTTGTTGTTTTATCGTTGTGGTTATGTTAATATATATATATAAAAAGCTCAATAAACATATTTGAGAAAAAAGAAATAGCTAAAAGAATAAAATAACTAAAACTCAAAGATTCAGGATGCCGAAACAGTTTTCATTTTGGCTTATTTTGTAGTTACTTGTTCATTTGCTACAGTTTATATGATATTTATATGATGTTTGTCATTGTAACTAGGCTAATCAGAAAGTGAAAGGAGAGGTAAAAAGGTTTTGTTAAGACATTTACTGGTGCTGTAAATGAATCAATACAGCTACTTTAACAACCAATGATCTCTATAAACAGATATTTGCGTATACATGCAGGATTTGTATGCAAGGGGACAATATTTTGCCATCAGAAGTGTTCTGGTTACCGTTTATAGTCCGACCAATCATCCTTGAGCGGGCTTTGGTTCCATGCAGTTAAACAGTCGATGTAGAGAGCAAAAGAGGCCGAACGGATTGGTTGAAATGCAATCTTAAAACCCATCAGCTATCACCTGACAACGTTTTCGCTTTTTATTAGCTTTTTATCTCAATTTACTTGCCTTCATATACAGATATCTGTTAGAGATTAGCTAAAATATGTTGTTCTAGTCATTCTCGCCTATCAAGTTGCTGATTGGACTGCAGAGGAAGTCTTGGATACACTTGCAATCAGAAATATTCAACCCCCCAAAGATTTTAAGGATTTTTCAAAGAGCAAGATTCTGCTTGGGATTACTTCTGTGAGTTGAGTGATACATAAAATCAACACAGAAAATGCAAGATGTAGTATTTGTGTGCAAGAGTTTATTTTTTTAAGATAGCCATGTCACAATTATTCAACCCCTATATACACTGAACAAAATTATAAACACAACACTTTTGTTTTTGCCCCCATTCATCATGAGCTGAACTCAAAGATCTAAGACTTTCTCTATGTACACAAAAGGCCAATTTCTCTCAAATAGTATTCACAAATCTGTCAAAATCTGTGTTAGTGAGCACTTTGCCGAGATAATCCATCCACCTCACAGGTGTGGCATATCAAGATGCTGATCAGACAGCATGGGTATTGCACAGGTGTGCCTTAAGCTGGCCACAATAAAAGGCCACTCGAAAATGTGCAGTTCCATCACACAGCACAATGCCACAGATGTCGCAAGTTTTGAGGGGGCGTGTAATTGGCATGCTGACTGCAGGAATGTCCACCAGAGCTGTTGCCCGTGAATTGAATGTTCATTTCTCTACCATAAGCCGTCTCCAAAGGCGTTTCAGAGAATTTGGCAGTACATCCAGCCGGACTCACAACCGCAGACCACCAGCCCAGGACCTCCACATCCAGCATCTTCACCTCCAAGATCGTCTGAGACCAGCCACCCGCACAGCTGTTGTAACAATCGGTTTGCATAACCAAAAACATGCTACTTAACTGTGTTGCACTGACATTGGCCATGTGTCAAGACTGGAAAAATGCTTACTTACTGTATGAAATTTTCTTCTTCTTGAACAATAGTGGCCAGTTCACACTTTGCACCTTTTGACTAGCTTACTTCAAAATAAAAGTTAACTCGTGTTTCGTCAGTTAAATGCTTTTAATGTGAAGCTGAAGCAGTAGGAAATGTTCAGTTTTTGTTAGCAGTAACTTAATACTGGATTTTTGCCAGGAATTGTCCCAGTACCTTGCAGCAGCAGAGTGTGCACAGGTGACAGCTCTCCAAAAGTGAAACCATTACATCTTGATCACCCGTGGTGGCTGGCTGTTAGTTTAGGAAACACTTGCTTTGATATGCAGCAGCATTTTCTCTGAGCCGAGCAAGGTCCAATCTCAATGAAACATGACATGTTTAATAACAGTCCGGCCCTGAACACGTCTACATGACAATATTCAGATATAGTGAGAGCGCCACCTACTGGCAACAGGAAGTAAGCGATGCGATGTGATTATGATCTGATTTCCACGAAATCTTCATGTTGTGGTCCTCACGTGTTATGACGGCACGCTATGAAGGCATGTTACGACGGCACTTGCCCTGCTTGCAGCTTTAATTCTGATTGCAACTGTATATCCTATATTTCTGGATATCTGCTGGCTACTGGCTGTTGCTCCCAGAGGCAAAATTGTGACCATACAATAGCCAATGTGTTCCAAGATTGGCCAACCAGCATAGGGCTGGGAATTGAGAACCAGTTCCAGTTGAGAAGGAGCGGCTCAGAGGTAAAGTGGGTCATCCACTAATCAGAAGGTTGTTGGTTCAATCCCTGGCTCCTCCGGCTGCATCCTTGAGCAAGATACTGAACCCCATATTCCTGATGCTGGATCATTGGTCTGTGAATATGAATGAGTTCTGATACTTGCCATCACTGAGTGAATGTGTGTGAAAGGGTGAATGTGGCATGTAGTGTAAAAGGGCTTTGAGTGGTCGGAAGACTAGAAAAGCACTATACAAGTACAGCTCCATTTACCGTTTACCATAACCGGTTCCATTAGAATATTTTTCCTCCAGGTTTATCAGTTACTTTTATCGATTCTGACATGTTTTTCTGACAGTCGCACCTTGCAAAACAATGACGTCTACGCTGTTGGAAACTTAAAAGGAGTCATGGCAGAGAGGAAGAAAGGGTCCAAAGCATGGTTGCATTTCACAAAGAAACTCAAAATACTATAACTCTATTTCTGCACTCTGTTCAGACTCAGAATAAAACAGTTGTGTTGATGCCAAGAACTTGTCATGGCCTACTTTTTTACCCATGTATACGATAAAAGCATAGAATCGAAAAAGCATAGGGCAGAACTGATGATGGCATTGAAGATTCAGAACAGATAGAAACACTTTAGGCGTTGTCAAGCTAGCTCATGTGAAGCATTCTGAGGCCTTCATTGGCCAACCCACTGAAGTCAAACCTTTAATATATTTCTGGGATATGGTGACATGTGTCCGCCTGATGCTTCTGCTTCGTACCGCTCTGCTCGCTGATTACATGGATTAAAAATTAACAGCTCAGATTGCAGCCTTGTACAGACTGTGTCCTTTCATGTCACAACATCAATAGGAACTGAACAGTTTGTTGATTCTTTCATGTGGGTAATAAGAGAGGGGGGAGCGGGACAAAGATGGAGCCCAGGAGAGCAAAACACAACAACCCTGAGGTGCATATCAACATTTTATTAAGCTAACAGATTGGTGTGCTACTGCTTGCTAACTGCCTTTTCTACAGCACATACATACAGGCGCTCCCTTCCGCTGCAAACAGACACACACATCCAAACAGATGTGCAGGAAATATAGCTGAGAGAAATAACTGAGTCTGTATGTGCAGGGTTCCAGAGTGCGACCAAATTTTTAAGAGTGCGACTAATAATTTTTCTAGGTCGCACTGGTGCACCTGTCGCTGCCCGGGTGAAAAACATACATTTATTAAGCGCATCATCTCTCTGTGTTCTCCTGTGACCAAACTCACACACAGTCATGGTAGGATCATATCGTGTTCTAAACCAATAAGAGACAGAGCTCGGGCGGGTCTTTGCCTCTGGCTGTGGTCTTGTTCACCACGCTAAGTTGTGTGTGTTTAAAAATTGCGCACGACCTGAGTGCCAGAATAGATCATCATACCATGGCGCCAACTCCAATCGGTACTGTGTAGGCTCTGACTCTGAATGGTGAAAGATGGCAGACCCTGTATCTGGGGTAACCTTAAAGCCTGCTGTCATCAGGATTAGCCTGATAAGTGTTTTCTCACTTAAGACTGTTTTCGCAGGCTGACTAAGACTCCTCATTCTGAGCAAATTGAATTTCAAGTGTAAACTTAGGGGAGTTCTCCTTTAATACTAGCTATCCAGTACAGATCACATGTTGGTCATCTGGTGGAGATGGGGTCATAATGGGAGTTTGTTTAGTAACACAACACAGTGTTTAAGTAGAGCTGCAACAATGAACCAACTGGTTGATAATCACTAACTATTTTGATAGTGGGTTAAGTTCATTTTACCCAACTTCACACCTGGAAGCTGTAAGTTTTTCTCTATTTAATGTTGTTTTACTGTTTATTGTGTAGGTTAGCCTGCTGGACTTGGTATTAAGATGCTGTGCAGCTAACGTGGCTAACACTATAGGCACACAGGCTGGGCTGATGTCGGACTTCCTGTTGTAATACGAGGGACAGTCAGAAGCTGTGTGATCATTAAGCCTTGTGACAAGCTAAAACAAATACCAGGAGTAGTAGGTTGGAGCCTGGTGGTTGTTTTTCATGTTGCTTTTGGTCTAGTCCCTGTCTTGAACTTTCTACGGACGTGCTAACATTACTTCAGCTAGCGCTAGCTTTGTTATTCCAAAGCCATTTTCCGGCTCCGCTCAGGTGTGGGTGGGTGGGTGTGTGTGTGTGTGTGTGTGTGTGTGTGTGTGTGTGTGTGTGTGTCTCTGTCTGTCTGTGAGCTGCTGTATGTAAATGTACCGGAGGTAAAGATAGAGCTACCGTGAGAGAGAAATAGTCAAACTGTGATCAAGCCTCCTTAGAAGCTAACGTTAATAAAATACGGGGAGTGAGTTATGGTGATTATTGTTCATGATGCTTCTTGTGTAACTTTGTACTGACGTGCTAACGTTATCTCAGCTAGCGTTAACTTGATCAAGGTGCACCAGAGTTAACGATAGAGCTACTGTGAGAGAGAAATTCGTTAGTTAGTTAGTTAGATTCATTAGGTTAGTATTATTCTGTAACTTTGATTAGCACCCAGCAGCTGGGGTTGCTCACTAGGTTGTTTTGTGGAGTCAAACCGACGAATAAAGGTTTCCTGATTCATTTATTTAGCGTTACTGAAGTACTGCTATTACTGACGATATAAGTGTAGGTCCAGTGTAACATCCTATACTCATATAATCTCCTATTGTATTATAAACACTGAGGCTCACTGCTGAATGTCTGTTATTGCACCGGGAACTTGTTCCAACATCAGTTACAGTCAGTAAATGTCCTGTGTGTGTATCTGCTGCCATTAGATAGACATTGTGTTGGTAACCTCAGACTGTTTCAACAACACATCACTACAGTTAGCTGCAACAAGGAACCACCAGAGACACTGCTTATTATTTTAGTTTATAACTTAGGTAGGACTACTTTGAGCCACAATGAGCTGTTGTACTTGTATTATATTATACTGTATATTATATTATACTGTACATTATATTATACTGTATATTATATTATACTGTATATTATGTGCTGCCTTACAAGTAACACTGAATCTTCCATGTTTTACAGGTGACCTGATGAAGCTCAGGTGTTCCTGGACCCATCAGAGGACAGAGACAGCTGCAGCATCAGGACAGTCTGGGTATCCAAAGGAAGACTGATGAAGATGAACACTGACTGCAGAGCTCCATTACCAGCTCACACTTCAATATACTAGAAACCATAAACCTTGATGGAGAACATGATCTGCACAGTTTACATAAAAGTTATAGCTTTGTTACTTCCAACATGTGTAACTGGAATATGACTGAAATATAAATAAAGTGTTTTACTTTTAAGAAGAGTTTTGGTCATTTTTAAATTCAGTAATAAGTGTGGTTTTATATAAATAACATGTTATTTCACAGAGGTTTTATGAAGATTTCCTGGATGTACAAGAGTTGAAAACCTGGTTCGTGTAACATCTATCAATATGAAAATGTGGAACTTAAACCTGTATTAATGACTGTAAGCTACACAATACATTACTGTCTCACATTCAAACTTTACTATATTGGAAGATAAATGACATCATAATATATAAAATAAATGATGCAGTATTCAGTATATATATTTTGAAAGGGGTTAAAACATAATTGCAACTTTTACAAATATCTGAAGGTTAACTTTGGTAATAATTGTCTGACAAATGCTACAAGTTAAAATATAAAACTTACTATGAAATATGAATTCAGTACAAGTTTCCATGGTCTCAGTGAACTAATGTGTATAAAGAATATAACAGATGGGAGGTTACAGTAATCATTATACTATTACTCTGATTACTTTGGTACATTTACTGGCTGTTTCTTCACTAGAAACAACTGCTTGACTAATGTTTCAGTCGTCTGTTTCATATGGTAACATCCCCACATCCGGGTAATTACGGTTTACATTATATACTATGCTACATGCACATGCTAACACGTTTCCTCTTTAGCTCCTCACAACAAATATGTTTAACTTCACTGGGCTGTGTAGACTGTAGGTCACTGCTGTACCGGTAAGAAGACAAGCGTACAACACAGTGTTGGTTTTGATAGTTAAGGTATAAACACTAACATTATGTATATGTAGTTAATATAGCAGTATTTACCTGAGGAAAACGTCACAGAAAGCTGTAATCCTGATTGTTGATGTTGTTCATTTCTCCGTGATTTCAGGTCAGACTCCCGCTCTAACATGTCCGCTGGTGAAGTTTTTGGTTTAGAAGCAGTTATTGAATTAATATTGACGGTAGAAATGCAGATAAACTCAGTAACAGTGAGGAGCTACCTGCCAAAACACCGGCAACACTGAGGGGGAAGTGGGAGGGCCAGAGCGTCAGCCGCATCATAATGCTGACCAATCAGAGCAGACTGCGCTTTTCGGGAGTGGGGGCTTAAAGAGACAGGCACTAAAACGGAGCGTTTCAGACAGAGGCTGAAAAGAGGTGCTCAGCTATAGGCAGTACGAGAAAAAGAATGTGTTTTTTGAACATTAAAACATCTAAACCTATTGTAGGAGAGCCACAAAATACAATTATGAACCTGAAAAGGGGCATAATATGTCTCCTTTAAAGACATCACCTAGGACCCTGAGAAAATGGGACTGATGTTTGTCATTATTTTCTGACAAGCGCACAGCACAGTCATGTTAAATACCTGGCCTCTTTATGTCTCCGGGCAGGAGACAACACTGTATGTGACAGATACGACAGCAGCAATATGAATATTTCAGCCACGTGCTGCTGGCACAACACATAAACTCAGTGCCTCACCCTACTGCTGGGATCAGGTGTCAATCTGGCTGACAGACGTGTAGATGGGTGCAGTGTGGAGCCGCCATGTGTGGACTGATGTATGTCAACATTTTTCAGGATGGTTTCACGTTCAGCACTCATCATGATTTAATTACAAACAGTGCAATTGTATTAAAAACTACCACAAGGGCAAAATATTCGCACTGCCTTATTCAACAATCATGCTGGGGAAAAAAATCACAGAAGTGTACAGGAATCTCCGCTCATAGTAGCTCAACAGACTGAAATTGCAAAGCCACCAGAACACATGCTGAGATTGGACAGCAGATGCAATCAGACATACGTTAACCTACACAATCTATTTATATTCATGTAAGTTCAACTCAAGTGCAAACTCACTAAAGTAGTTGGAAAATGACATTATTGACTGAGAACCAGAAACAAAGTTTGAGTAAAAGTGGAGACCATAAAACTATTTATTTTCAAATTTTTGCAAACTAAAGATGCAAGTAAGTGTACTGGAATAAGAGTTGTGAGGTTTCTTGCATGATTTTGCTGTTAGAACATATATATATATTTTCACTATTATACAACCAAAATTCCATCATGATGATCTCAAAGTATTAGGGCTGCAGCTATCGAATATTTTCGAGTATTCTATCGAATATTCCATCGATTAATCGAGTAATCGGATAAAACATACTTTTGCTGAATTAAAGCCCAATTTTAAACATACAATAGAAAACAAGACGGATCACTTAATAATAAAAACAGTTTGTTTCCTATTTAAGAAAAATTTGCATTTATTTATTATTATACATATTATGTAAAGTAGTAAATCGTTTTCCAATATAAAGAGTAAAATTACTTACATTCAAATTCACTTCATTTCCTGAGACATAAAATTAAATAAAATCAATAAAATTGTTTCCCACTTATTTTTTCTAAGTATCAAAAATAAAATAAAAATGTCCAAATGTACACACACCACGATGTTGTCCTTAATTTTAATTTAAAATGATCCCACACCTTCGACATCTTCTGTCTCTTCCAGTTACCACATTGTAAAAGTAATTAGTTACTCAGCAAAGTAACTGACGTTATTTTTTATGTCCTATAACGCTATTACATTCTATAACAAATTCTATAACGTAAAATATGTTTGTAATAACTGAATGAAGAATAAAAACACTATATACAGTATTTCAGAACATTTGGTATTTATTTGAACTCAACAGATTGCAGCCGGCCATATGCATAGAAATAATGGACAGGGGTAGCATGTTGTCAACAACATACCTTGCAATCAGTGTGTTCAGCTCGGCCCTAGTCGCCACCTGTTACTGACCCGAAAAATCAAGCTTTGCTTGTTTTAACGGAGTGGATCCGTCTCCTTCACTGGAGCTCACGCTAGCTGCATCTGGGCTTGAGGTTGGGTTAGCAGCAGCAACAAGTGGCTTGTTAGCATGTGTTGCTGTGCGGTGCTTCATAAGATTTGAGTTGCTTGAGGCAGACGTGGATAAAGTCTTTTTTCCTGGGCACAGTGCATGTTACATAAACATTCTTGCCTTTAACTTCAGTAAGCGAGAAGTAGTGTCGGTACTTCCAGTTTGATATCGCTACCTTTGAATTTCGCTGGCTCGTCGCCATTGTCTCTGTCTTGTGTTTATAGTAGTTAGAGCGTACAGTGAGACAGCGTGTAGTGAGACAGCGTGAGCAGGGCATCCGCCCACCCAGCCAATCATCATCACCACCCTGCCTCCCGGCAGCTGATGTGTGTCTGTCAGAAAGCCTGACACCGCTGCGCTTCATTCAACCAGCGTAGCAACGCGCCACTTTACATTCTCAGTAACGGTAACGGCGTTGCAACGATGGGAAAAGTAATGAGATTACCCTGTTACTGAAAAAATAACGCCGTTAGTAACACCGTTGCACATTGTGTCACACTAAAAAGAATTTGTGCGAAACGTGAGTTTTGAATTTAATTAAATGAGGCTTCGAGGCAGAGGAAATTCCTCGATCATTTTTTGTAATCGAGTTACTCGAGGTACTCGAGGAATCGTTGCAGCCCTACAAAGTATCATTTTAAAGTTTTGAGTACTAGTCCTGATACAATACCTGAGTCTTGGTATGCAACACACTTTTCTGCATACCTTAAATATTTACAAAAGAAGCCAAAGTTCTCCAACTTAAATTTTGTCTCCCTGACACCTAGAAATGATTACATTAATATAAAACTACTGGGTGGATTGGAAACTGAGCAATCAGGCACTACAGACAGAGAAAGGAGGCTGCATCAGAGGCAAAGTAGCACATTTTAAAACAATTTTATATGATTGGTCATTTAAAAAATAACGATCCAGATAATCGGAAAAATGCTGAATATCAGATCCAATAATTGGTCTGACCTTAATTTTTAAGACTCTTAGATCAATTATTTATTTTGTCTATCAAGCTCACAAAATAGTGAACAATTGCCAACACAAGTGCTGAGAGCCCAAGGTCAGCTTACAGTGATGTTAGGGGTGTCCGATAATATCGGAGGGCCGATATTCACTAAAAGATGTAATATCGGGAATTATCGGTATCGGGTTTTTATAACCGATGTCTGTAGGCTTCAGCATTTCCGAGCCTGCATGAACGCAGCATGGGACGTTTACCGGCGTGCTAGATAATGTATAACAACTACTACTACACGCTAGACTGGTTGGTTGCTAACCGTGGCTAACAAGCAAACAATTTAAAGCTGAATGATTTTAATATTAACACAACTCAATGCACCTTAAACATTTTACCCTGCTATGAGCTGTTCCTTAACCAAACTAACAATTGGCTTAGAATTTACATTAGCACTCCTTCAGGTGCATAATACAGTTAAACACATTAACCAAAGCTAGCGCTTAGCTAGCGGTTAGCGCGTAGCTAGCGATTAGCGTCAGCGCTCTTTTCAGTATTAATACAATGAAAGTTGAAGTTGTTCTCTTATTTTGCACAGACAGTGTTTACATTTGGAAAGCCATGTTGCATTTATGTATGCGTCCAGTGTAGGGTGGCCATTCGTCCGGCTTTAGGCCGGACAGTCCGGCTTTTAAATGCCCTGTCCGGCTGCAGACGCCTTTTGACACATTACCTCGTTAGTTTAATACTTATTGGCTTAAAATGTGTGTCAAAATAACTAATTTCATTGGTTACATTTTCGTGTGGTGACCTATCAACACATGGCTCATTTAAATATTCAAATGAGCCATGTGTGATCACTGCAGTTGCTACCACCAGGCTGTCAATCAAACTCTCAGACAGAGAACGTAAGGTGAGCTAATGTCGGTTGTTGGACTGAAATTCTGAAAATGCTCATACTCATATGTAAAGGCAAATCCTATACATCTGAAACAGAAGGTGCTGTATTTTGTTTACCCTTTATCTATCCAGATAAAAACATTAAGAACAGTTTCTGTATGATGTTTATTAGACCTATGTAATCTGAATTGGAAGAGCACGTTGTCATGAGCTGTATCTTGTATATTTATTATTAGCTATGTGGTATGTGTATGCACCTTTATGTAATCTGGTGGAAAAACATATTAAAATTTAAAACCGGATCATACCAAACAAATATCTGCTTACGTATCCCGGTGTATGCAAAGTGTCCTCCTTTTTGATGTGAAGGAAATGGCCACCCTACCAGTGGGGCATCACAATAAAATGAGGCATAATGTGTTAATTCCACAATAGGAGATATGTTATGTTGTTACCTAACAGTTTTGGTGTAAAAAGCCTGCATATATCGGTATCAGGTGATATCGGTATCGGAAATTGAGAGTTGGACAATATCGGAATATTGGCTATCGGCAGAAAAGCCAATATCGAGCATCCCTAAGTGATGTAAAGCAGAGAAAGGCAGCACATCCTCACACTGGTGAATTGATAAATCAATATATGACTTTAACCAATAACCCACTACCAAAATTGTTGATTTCTAACCACTGACTGGCTGATTCACTCAACAATCTTTTCAACACTTTTTATTAGGTTAAGTCCTTAACCTTGACCTCTAACCTCAGCCACCACCGGTCAATACATCAATGTAAATACACACAATCACTCAGCCTCAACCCAGAGCATGGTCATAGACTGACTGAGCTCACAATGCTGCTCCTTCTCTGGAGTGCAACCAGTATACTGTAACCTCATGGAAAACTGATACTGCGGCCTGAAGCAGCAGACTCTGCTGTTATGCTTTCCTCCTTGATTGTGCAAAATACATAAATTGTCAAAATTTTGCCATCAAAATCGCTGCTTATCCAAGTTGTCACTACATCGCGACCCACGTCTGCAACAATGACCAAATGCTGTGTCATCAGTCAGCCTGTGATCTGTGTGATGGGACTCATGCAGGGATTTGTATAAGGCTTCACAGGCCACAGGGCAGACCTGCAGGAGTGATTTACATGAGGCCAAATGACCCCTGCAACACAAATTTAACAGCCATTAATTATTAACTCGGCCTTATGAGCTTGCTTGCTGCTGGAAGAGAAACTGCCATTGTCTGTATCCAAGATGCGGCCCACACCCTCACTTTAAAAGCAATAAACTTAATAAAAAATTTACATTTCTTCCATCTGCTCTGTGCAGATACAGAACACGCAGTTGGGCAGGCTACATTTACTTTCATTAGTGACTTTCCCTCCGCTGTAATGCCGAATTCAATTCAAATTCTGGCTGTTTTAATTGTTTCCTGGAGCGTTGTTTGGCATCATTAACATTGAATTAGGGCTGCAACTAAGGATCATTCTAAGTATGGATTAATCTGTTGATCATTTTCTCTAGTGCTATATTGTGATTATTTTGAAAGATATTGCGATTAGTGGGAATAATCATTTTTGCATCACATATTTAATTTTCACTGAAATAACTTTTTGGGGTCTTTATCAAACACACAGAACAAGATTTTGAAGTCAGGTCATCTCTGCTGCACTACAGTACTTTATTATAATGCCGTCTGTCACATTTTACCTTTCTCAAACTAATTGCAGCTTCTTCCATTTGAATATTGAATTTGGCGCTAATGCAATTTCAGTATTTCTTTTTGTAAAGCCCTAATTCTCTCTGTTAATTAATTAGATGTTTGGTGCATAAAATGTCCAAAAATTGTGAAAAATGTTGATCGGTGTTTAAGGTGACATCCTCCAGTATTTTGTTTTGTCCACAACCAAAGAATATTCAGTTTACTGTCAAAGAAACCAGAAAATATTCACACCTGAGAAGATTAAATAAGATTGTCTAGACATTGTCTTTCTTGAAAGATGACTCAAAAAGATGATCAAAACACTTGCTAAATGAACTAATCCATTAATCAACTAATCCTTGCAGCTCTATCTCGAAGACGATCCAATAAACAAAGTAACTTTTAATGTAGCACCAATCGGAATGTTTGTTCACCACCTCTCTTGACTATTGTAACAGTCAGAGCAGCTCTGAAAATGGACATTTTACAGCACTGAATTCACTCATTGACAGATTCTGTTTCCATCAGGGAGCTACTGATTCACACATGGCTGTTAAGCTATGCGTTATGAATTACGTTGATTTGCCAGTAAGCAAGCTCATATGAAATTAAAAGATGTGTCAGAGAATTTGGTGCTGCGTTTCCTCTACAGTCACTCGTTATAGGGCACAGACTGGGTACCCGGGGTATATCTGCATCCTGACAACTACAGCACTATATAAAATGGTGTTGGAAAGGTTAACAGGATGGTGCCACACTTCTCCATTTCCACTGCCTCCTCTCATGGGAGGCGCCTCCATCCATGATGAGGATCAAGGGATGCTGCGAGGAAGGATTTGGATAACCTGACTAGCCAAGCATCAACCCACGCTGATAACGGGTTCATAGGTGGGTTTCCTGCTAGCATCCAGCTAGGAGAGCAGGTTAGCTGCATTCCAGCAAAGGGACGGCAATTTAGACCGACAGGTGCAACAGCATCATCATCATCATCATCATCATCATCCAGCCGCACACAGCCTCCTCCTACCGCTGCTTCCACCTTCACAAGTACGCAGAGAAACATGTCCCAGCCACCAACCGACAACCCAGAGAGAGGGCACAGAACAAGCCTGAATTCATGTGTGTGTTTTTCCATCATGACAATTGTTCATTCGTGTGAGCGGATAAGTGGCGGAGCTAGCTAACAGCCGCTCCAGCACGGCGCCCGAACGAACCGCTGTTAGCCTCGTCGCTGGGCTGGCTGCCTCCCTCCGCTCCGGGGCGAGCCGTCGAATAAAACAGCGAGCAGGGAAAGAAAACACAGCGTGTGTGCTGGACTCACCTTTCTGCCATTTTCCCCACACTTCTTAAAATCCGTTTAGAATAAATCCTACAGCGTCTCCCATGTTGCCGAAATTGCGGTGGCCGCAGTCAACGAGTCACTCCTTCTGAGCCAGCGTCAAGGTACCGCCAATAAGCAACACCTCTTCCGCTCGCAGCCTTCATAATAAGAGTTGCTCAAAAACGTAGCACACACTTTGGAATTGACCACAGAAAATAAAAATAAGATACTGGTTTAATGGCATGCATTCATTGTCATATAGATATACAGGATTGACTGGATTAATTATGAAAGACTTAAGGCTCTCACAAAATAACAAATCAGCACCCTGAAAACACAAATTTTCCTGTTTGTATTTAAGGTCCTGTGTGTAACATTTAGCATGTTCCTCAGCCACTGTAGTTTGTCCTTCGCACTTGGAAGGGGAGGGTGAAGCAAGGGAGTTGCAAGCTGCAACTATATCACTAAATCCTAAACACTGGAAGTAAGTAAGTAAGTAAGTAAGAAAACACAACCTGTCAAAAATCACCTTGGGACACAGCTACATACATTGTTATACATTAAATGAAAAGCATTTCATCCTTTCAGCATCCTTTTATAAAAACATAAAATTTCTTGATGCTAGCCTTCTTAATTTGATGTCATCTGTTCACTGAAATCATTTCACATATATTCAGGGCATTCTCAAAAGCTGCTATGATAAGGTCACCATACTGAGTGTGTTCTATTACCCACAAGGCAATGTCACTGCAAGATGTTCTCTAACAGCACCACAGCTATCAGAGGGTAAAGGGTCAGTGAGGAGGAGTTACCACTAAAATATTCTGCTTTTTATTGCCAATTGCCAACAAACATAAAAATACAATCAGGCCTACCAAAGCCACAAGTGTTCACGTTGGCTACTTTATTCTGAAGTTAACAGTCAATAACTTCCGGTATTAATCTTGCTTATTTTAATGAACTTGACGCAAAAGGGAACGGGCATTGCTCGTATCAAGTGGTGATGCATTCAAGTTAAATGAAAAGGACTGCATGTATTAGTGATATTTGTTAGTAACACTGCTCACCACACATTTCAGGCGCTGCATTTGTATCCCTTCTTCAGGGTTTAGGGGATGGCAGCCGGTCCCAGCATGCTCTAGGACACCCTGGACAAGTCTCCAAATGCATCACAGCACTACCACAGGAACCCAGACACTCCCATTCACAGCCTACCTGAGGACATCCACCAATGAACCCATGAAAGCAAAACAGACAGCTCCATGTGTGAACTCTGACCCTGGAAGGAAATACAACTACCATAGGAAATTATATTTTCATTTAATTTCAAAGAAACCCAATAAAGTTGAAGATCCCTGAAGACATGTATTAAGACAAATAATCTCCATGGAACAATAATGTGTGTCTGATGTGTTTTTCCCACAAAAATAGTTTCATTTCTACATTAAAATCCTTAAAAAGTCATCCACTCCTACCTCATTAAAAATTCCAGAATCGATGAATGTGCAAATGTTATTCATTTCTAAAGTTTTCCTGCTGAAACAGAAATCTTTCCACTTTCAGCAGATGAATGTGAAAACATCCTTCTAGAGTCAAACTCTGCACAGACATCATTCAAACAGCACGCTGTTGCCCCAATGTTCACAAAAACGCAGCAAAAGTGCCCTCCTCGATGCCCCTGTGGTAGATGAAACATGATAAAGGGCTCTCTAGAGTGGCCTTCCTAAGCTGTTTCACCTTAAATCCAACAAAAATGTATAGTTTATGTTTGTATAGTTAATACTGGAGAGAGACACTTCAACTTGATTTCAGAGTAATGGCAGATAAGTTCAGCTGGCCTCCATCAGAACTTAAACATGTCCAGAGACAGGAAACATCACTGCACCCATCTCACCCTGGACACAACCTGTTCCACCTTCTCCCCTCTGGTAGGCGCTACAGAGCACTGTACACCAAAACAAACAGACACAGGAACAGTTTTTACCCACAGGCCATCACTATATTATATATACTGCATATACTGTCATGTCCACCTACCTCATGTACATAAAAAACCTGCACAAACATATTTATCCCAACCTTTGCGCCCTGCACCACTGTACTATTGTCTACTGTCTACAATTGTTACTGTGGTTGTTTATGTTGACATATACGTATATATGTATCTCTCTCTCTTATATATATATAGAGATACATATATATGTATCTCTCTCTCTATATATATATAGAGATACATATATATGTATCTGTCATTCTGATTCTGAAGTTGCAACAAACACCTCTGGATGAACTGATGTAATCTATGTATTCTTCTCATATCGACTCCAGGTCCGACGAACAACTACTCAGTCTGGTTTACACGCCCGCCGATAGGGGGGAAACGGGTCTGTTGTCCCGGGCCCACGGTAGGGGGGGGAAACTGGGCCCTCATTAAATTATGGAATAATTAAAAAAAATATTTAAAATAGGCTTCTTTGTGGTAAAAAATATGTAATATTTGAGTTACATAAAAGCTTTTTATTTGTTTTCTTCCTAATTGTCCTTGAAATAGTGGTCAAGAACCCCCCCACCCCAACACAAAAATGGTTTGGCCACTGATCAAAGTTTGATGTTGTGGTTGATTTGAAGTTCACTAGCTCAAAATGTCCGGACAGCACGAGTCCGGTGCTCAGAAAAGGAAAGAAAAGAGAAGAGAAGAAGAAAATAAAGAGGCCTTAGAGATTTTCTAAACAAATATTTTAAAAAAGATGGTGACGGTGAGGCTGGAACTGGTAAAGTCAACGTAGAGCAAGGTAAGAAACAGCGCAGCCAACGTTTAGCAGCCCTGTAACGTAAGCTAACAGTTAACGTCCATCAGCTTAAAGACTGACACAACACGTTATCTGACAGAAACTGCTGAGTTTGGTAGCTCCGTCAGAGAGAGAGAGAGAGACAGCTGCAGGCAGGTGACAGAGAGAGTGAATGCCCCGCAACGGAGGGACAGAGTCAGGCTACCGGTGAGAGAGAGTGAGAGAGAGAGAGAGAGAGACTGAGACTTAATTTCAGCGATCCTCCATTATGGCCAACTAGAATGACCGACTCTGATAGAGTGAACCTCGTACGTGTGATGGCAAAACGAACGCCTTTCTCAGAGAGGGCAAAGGAATTGCCAGCAGATGCAGAGGGCAGGAAACCCCCAAACTATTTGACATATTCCACATCCCACAATGGAAGGGGAAAAAATGGGCTCAGAGGCTCAAAAAAAGCCTTATTTTGCCTCCCATGCTTGCTGTTCTCCTTTGAAGTAGAGGAAAAGTCAACTGGTGCTCTAAATTCCACAGATGGGATGAAAATATCGACTATAAATGAAACATTGTTATTGGAAGGAGAGGAACAGGAGTGGAAGAGCAAGGGAAAAGGAGAGATCTGGGCGCAGGGGGGCCCATCTAAGATTATCTGGTCCCGGGCCCAGGCAAGACTGTCAGCTGGCCTGCTGGTTATATACCAGCTGTGAGTGGCTTTCTGCCCAGCACATAAGGCCTATACATAACACAACCCATAGAGGGCGCACAAATAAATGCATGGGCCTGATACAAGCATACATGTCACAGAAAAGTGTAACAGTTAAGCATAATGACAATGAATGATTACATTTTTATTTCAAATATTTTTTATTGAGCTGCAGAACGTTATACATACGGTATATAATTGTGTCATTCTCCATATAAAAGAATTATAAAAATATATTCATAGACGTAAGATGGATGAAATAAAAGATACAGGATTGCATTTTTAAAATTGAACAATACCGAACACAAACTATAAAGAAAAGGAAAATAATTATTTAAATAAAAAGTAAAGGTTAAATAAATGCACTCAAAAAACTGATCCAAGCCCTTCTTTGATGTGACACATTAAACTGTTGTTTGATTTGCTGAAACAAATCTATTAAACACTAAACAGATGTAAATTGAATTGTGGTAACGTAATAATTTCACCTTGACATTCATGAACTCAGAACAAATGAGTTTCATTTGAATTGGGACCGCCGCAGCGCGCTCTCAGCCTCCGTTCCTCCCGCTCCTTTTTCACTGACAACTTCTGCCAACGCTGCTGCGGGGTTTTACTTTACAGAGCCACGGAAAGCTGCTGTAATTCCACTCCTTGGTGAGTACTCCATTTTGTTATATTTTAAAAAGCATGCTGTGAAAAGACCGACGAGTTCTACCGTCAGTGAAGTCGGACATGGGCTAGCGGGCTAACTAGCTAAGATACATGAGGGAGAATTAAGTTTGACTAAGTGTCTGTGGTTACTCTGACAGTGCAGTTAATGGTAAAAAAATGTTCAGGGTCGGTCTGAACTGGTCAAAACATGCCTTAGCTTTTCTGCCTGAAACATATAGCTAGGCTCTGAGGCAGTTTTTCTGTGTGTTTTGACACAAGTCAGTGACTGTCATCAATATGTTGATGAGTTCCATGTTGATGTTTTATATCTATATATCTCTCTCTCTCCCTCTCTCTCTCTCTCTATAGATATATAGATATAGATATTTGTATGAGGTTTTATTTGTTTTAAATAAAAACATATGAACCAGATTTTGTGTTATGTGTCTCTGAATAATATTTTTTAGACCAGCTATATTAGTTTAAGTTGTACAAAGGTAAATCAGTTTAGGCCAGTTAATGTACTTATTTTATTTTGGCTGTATTTGATAAAGATGAGTTTGACCAACTCAATTAAATCATATTAAAAGGAGGTACTTAGTTCGAGTTGGGGCTACATACATTTAGTACATACAAAATGAGAGATAAATCTAAGAACAGGAGCATAACTCAGATAAGGCACAATGAACGTTAAGTTGGAAAGATATATTTCCAATTTCTTGTACTTGGCCCCAAAAACCCCTTTACCTCAACGGTGAAAAAAAAACAACCAGTAACCAGTAAAATTATTATCCTTATTGTTATTATTATTATTGATATAATTGAGTTTAATGCATTAAGCACTGTGTTACATTTTGCTTGTTTGAAAAGTGCTATATGAAAAAGTCTGATTGATTGAGTTTGAATGGAGAAAAAAAGGAAAACAAAAGAAAGATACATGAGCAAAAGATTTGCAATGAAGCAACAATAAAGTTGTTTTCAGGGATTTTATTACCTTTAATTGATACTG